GTCACCTTCGCCCCGATCCTCGATCCCTAGCACGTCTAGGGAGTATAGGCGCTCATACTCGTTTGTTTCTCTGGTGAACATACATGTTCCATCTGCATACTCCTTGCCACCATGCACAACCCAACCAAAGGTTGTGCCCTCTACGATTGGGTCATCTGGTTCACCTTTGATAATACTCTCCGTCTTTATCTGGCAGTAGACTGCGTCTCCAAGTATCACATGTATTGGGTATTCTTCGTTGGCGGTTCTGTAGAAAGTTTTCCCCCGCACGTGTGGATACTTTTCCTTCACCTCAGCAATTGTAGGTCGCCTCACCGGTAAAGTCCGACATCTTGCTACCCGTCAGTTCGATTGACTTGCTTACACTGCCGTCGGCCGACTCAATTGTTGCAGCGAAAACCGGCATCGATTGCTCTTTCGTCCCGTTAACTGTTAAAATGTGACGCCTATCATGTCGCTGTGGCTTTAATCTTAGCTTATTTATTGCTTCTTTAGAAACAAAGTTCCGCCCCGAGCCAGTGTCTAAGTACGCCCAAAACATGACTCCCTGGATTTTCATTGGGATGATGGCCGGGAGAGACTTCTCCTCTTTTGAGGGTGAAAATCCATTTAACAGTTTGTTGTGGTTCTGCGTTTCATTTCCTGACTCCCTATTGCACAGACTGGTATGATGCCTTGCTTTGCACTTATAACAACCCCTCCCACGGCATTTATTTTCTCTGTGTCCTGACCGTGCACAATTGAAGCATAGGCGGTGCTCAGAAAAGAATCTACGACGTTTCTCAATAGTGTCATACACTGGACATGTGTCTCCCCAGTGTGATTCTTTGCACTCAAATATGCAGTGGGGACCTCGATGGGTTTGAGCCCCCTCCCCCTTTTGGCAGAACATATGGCGTTCTCTCCTTTTCTCCCCCGTCTCTTTACCAGCTTCTGGCTGGTTCCTTTTTAACCACTTTTGTAGTGCTTTTATCAGATTCTCCATACCCCAGTCTTCCCATTCCTCATCCGTTCTCACCAGATCTGCCTTAATATTGGGTAATTTGTTTAGTGTTGGTAGGACAAGTCCCTTTAACATGTTCCCCTCACCCAGAGTTTGTAGGGCATCAAGGCTCTTGCTTAGAGATTCGTAGAAGTCATGCACTTTGTTGTACCCAGTCCCCTCACAGTGGGCAGATTAATAATCTGGTCAACATGAGCAGCAATGACCACTTTAGTTTGACCATACTCTGCTTTTAATCTGTCCCATGCGGTTTGATAACCCAACTCTCCAGGTTTGAGATTTGCAAATCGATCTCTTATTTTGGGGTCGACTAACTCCAATAAATAGCCAAATTTCTCTTCTGCGGAAATTGGCTTGTTATTAACTTGTGTCGTAAACATGTTCTCGAATCTAATCCAATCTTCTGGGGTCCCCTTGAATGGAGTTATTTTAAGTTCAGGTAATTTTGATCTACATACCTTTGCGGCAGTCTCCATCTCTAACTTCTTCTCGGTCATCTTGATCTCAGCTTTTAATCTCTCTTCCCAAAGTGCTTTCTCTCTCTCTTGTAACTCGATTCTAAACTTCTCTTCGTTCTCAAATTTCACCTTTAACTTTTCTGTCTCCAAATCTAAACAACGTTTTTTCTCTATGTTCTCTAATACTCCATTGATTTTCTCCTTTTTCTCCAATAACGGTGCAAAACTCGCTTTCAAATCCTTTTTCCATTGCCTGATCGCCCTTTGCGTTGTGTTTCCCGAGTCTAATTTTAGCTCTTGTACGCGTGAAAGAAGATCATTTAATTCGTCTCGAATTTCGTCAGTTCTTTTCGATGCAATTCGCAACTCGGATATTTCATTATTCTCGACGAGTTCGTCAGTTTCCTCCAGATAATACTTTAGTTTATCGACTGCTTTAGTTATTTTACTCTCTAAAATCTTTTCTTGTTCATCAACTTGACTTGAATCACTCACGTTTGTACCCAATTCGCCGTCGGTCATACTTTTAAATTAATACTCAAAGTCTCGTGTGTATTTTGCACAATTTCCCGTTTAATCCTGGTCACGGCACCACTAAATGTACGGAACTTCGTCGGTACAATAACTCCCAATCTCACTTTTGGTTATTTTACTATTTATTTCATAAAAAGAATCATAAATATAAAGAGAAACTAAAATATAATGTCACTTTGTCTCGATCGCGATAAAAAACCATGCTCTTTGTTTTGTTGTGTTTCCACTATGTGTTTCCACTATATCCTAAATATTTCGGAATACTAACTTCCGCTCAATATATATATATATTGACACGGCAGGCACTGTCTTCAGCTAGCTTTCATTCAATAAGACTTCCATCTATAATGCGTATTTTATAGCAATTATAAATTGACATAAAACTGGAAGGTATTTATAACTGCTTTTATCAAGCATTCACCTGTAGTGCAGGGATATACAATCATGTCTTGCCATTCACGAGCTATGATCAGCGGTTAGGATTACGGCAACCATGTACTATAATATGCCGGATTTTAAATATCAAAACTTGCAGCGAAACTGCATGTACTTTCAATTATTCAATAATTTGAATTACACACGACAATCAACTTTCCAACTTCTTTATACATTATAGGCGCAAAAAGAAAAACTACAAAGTCAGAGCAGAAGGCAAACGGTGGATTATCCGATAAGCTGATGAGTTATTTTGAACCAGCGAATCCAGATAGAAGAACTCGTCGTCAAAAGAAATGGTTTGACGAACAGAGTGACTAAATAGCGCTGCCCAGCATATTAACTAACACTAGTGACAGTAATTTAATATGACCATGCATTATTTATACTAGTCTCACTCTTAAAGGTGGAGTAATACGGGGCAACAAAATTGCTGCAACTTGCAACAAAATCTGACTTCTACTCATGTTAATTGAAAATGTTTACACATACATTACAGGTCACAAGGCAACATGTGTCAACATTTCTACTTAACATGCATTGAAATCAGATTTTGTTGCAAGTTGCAGCAATTTTGTTGCTCGTATTACTTTATGCAATTATGCCAAACGCTTAACTATGTGATTATTATATCTACAGAGTGTATAAAAAAGGAATCCTTTAGAAATTCATGCACTACACTGAACACAAAATTTGAATTTTTAATTACCAGGAGCAATATATATTGTGCTTAAAACAACGATAGATTAATTTCTAAAGGTCTCTTTTTTATGATACACCCTGTATTGAGCTTCTATCGAGTCATGCAGATCTTACTATTGCATGCATGCATATATGCAAAATGTTTGTTAGAAAAGAATTGTTTTTCTTTGTGTGTGACTCCGTAAGATCTGATCTTTGTCAGAGCTAAAACGAAATTTATTTGTTTAACAATATTAAAAAATTGTATATAATTTTATTTTATCTCGAGAGATGCACAGTCAGTGGGCGGGACTAACAATTTCCAAAAAAATGAGGAAATGTTTTATAGTGAAGCTTTGCTTATTCTGAACATTTAAATATTAATTATGATCATTTTTCAGTGCTTTCATTTGTCATTTATTTAAAGTTTATGCAATATTGCCGTCTGCTCTTTGACCTCTTTGTTGTCTAGCAACTGATACCCTGCAGAATTAGCTAATTTCCACGCAATTTATTGCTTACTCACACATTTTGTGAATCGCATGTCTCGTGTTCCGCTGATTTTCATGTGGCGGAATATGCAATACTATCTTATACAAGAAATTCTGGTTTCTGGTTGGATAATTGGCGCAGTGCATGCCCAGAACGGTTGTTTTTATTGCCGAAGTCCCGCTATTTTATGAAGGCGGAGGTTGTTAATATTCAAACCTTTCTCACAAAGCGTTCTGCGCGAGTATTCACGACTGTGACGGTGGTAGGTCATCATATTACTATTCATATCATATTCGATATTGCTTTTGTGATTTGTATAAAATGGCTTCAACGAGCGTGACAAACCTTATGGAAAGCCATAGCGGAATTTCATTTCATTCGGTGCTTTTAGCATAATATACTGTATGTGGTACTTTTATCGTTATACGAGGTGCTCTCTACATTATATGCGGTGCTTCGAGTTTGAGCATTATACACGATGATTTTGACATTATATATGGGCTACACGCAACATTATACGAGGTGCTTTTAACATTATACGCGGTGCTTGAGACATTTAATAATATACGCGGTGCTTGAGACATACGAGGTGCTTTTAGCATTATACGCTGTGCTTGAGACATTATACGCGGTCGGTATAACGTTATACACGGTACCTTCAGCATTGTATGCAGTGGTTTTATCATTATACGCAGTGCTGTAACTACTTGCTGTGGTTTCAACATCATACGCGCATTACGTGGTGCTTGAGACATTATACGAGGTACAGTGATTTGTAATTATTCGTTGTGCTGCAGACTCAGTGCAGAGGGCAATATTTTTGCCTAACACAGCACTTCTCTGAGCTCACACAGTTCTCTGAGCCAGATAGCATTTTTTGTATTTTACAAAGGGAAAATACTCCTGTTAGAGGGGTATTTAAACTTTGTTTAGTGACATCCTTCCACCCTCAAAATCACAGGAAATGCCATTCCCGAGGTTCTAGATTTCAAATTTTCTCGGGGGGCATGCCCCCGAACCCCTCTAGGAAGGTCGACGACTTTTTTTAGCCAACTACGCCACTGTGCACAGCATGTTATTTTTACCAGCATTACTTTGCTAGTTTGTTCCTATACATTGCTGGTTGACAATGAAACTCTATCTAATGAGTAATGTACTATAATATTAATATTATTAAATATAAATTGGATTTCAAGCTACATTGTTTCGTGTGCACTCAAGCAAATTCGGGAAGTTTCTGTTGTGCTTTAATTTCTGAAGACCTGCATGCGGTTAACTATTTAATTATTGATTGAGTCGGTTTTCTTTCCGAGGTAACAGATGAAACATGCAAAACTTTAATGGAAAACCTCCTCAATCAAGAATTAAATATGATAAGCACCTCGAAAGTCGGGATTTATGTCAGATAATGGCATAATGCCCTCGGATGCTGCATGTTCTCAGGTCATAATTATCTGACATAAGTCCCTCCTTGGTGTTTATCCTATACATAATGTACATGGCTATACATTTTGTGCTCGTGCAGTATGCACTTTGAAACTCCAGGCGCAGTTTTTCTGACAACAATTCAGTAAAACTTATAGAAAAGTTTGTAGTGCAGGGTACTGGATGCTTGCATGCATGGAATCACCGTGAGTGTAAGCGCTACAAAATTCCATTTTATATCGATTTAGTGCATTGATACTGTATAAAGTATTGTCTTGTCTTTTGTTAGCAGTAAGTTGTAACCCTTTGTTGTGTGATATCGGTCCGAAATTTAACTACCATACAAATGCACAGTAAAACTAATTGAAACACACAAAATTGAATGAATATTTTGTCCAGTACTAGTGGTTTCACAAAGACGTGCATGACTATTTTGTAATAGAAGTTCGTACCGGCCGGTAGATAAATTTGAAAAGGCATTTCCTCTAAGTCATCAACGGTTCATCTTAATGCCTTTTCAAACAATATTTCCCAATACTCTATCGCATTTACTAATACACACCACAGATATACTTTTGATTTCATGAATATACAGGCACCTGTTGTCACGCATGTGAAACACGGCATGTCCTGCATGCCCCTGGACCCCCCTACACGGTCTCACACCTTCGGCATTCGCTATTTTATTATTTGCTCGACTTTTTTATTATTCACCAATGTACACCTGTTCATGTCAGCCGTTAAAATGATTTTTCATATTGCTCACCTTGACATAAATCCAACAGTCTTTAGAAATCACACCACAATATAACACAGCAAAATTGTATATAATAATAATAATAATAACACTTTATTTATTGAGGATAAACAGATAAAGTTACAACTTTTTTTCCAATCTGGTCCTCCTAAACTCTATAGACACAACAACAATAACATTAAACATGACTATTTTCAGTACTTCCTATGGGAGTATGAACAAATGAAATCATGGGTACAATGTAAAGTATTAACCAGTACTACAATTCAGTTGTTCATACCTCGAGAAAGCCCCAATTTACTAATTAGGCAATTTTCTAACTATGTCTAAATTATATTTACAGTACAGTATAACAAGTCGAAATATGTGTTGACATACAACTCACAAGTGTCTAAAGTGACATTATAAACATGACAGTATTTGACACTTTCTCCATGTACGAACAACCGAAAGTTAGATCATGCTCAGCTAAAACTGCAAGCATGAACTTCGGCCGTTCATACATCAAGAAAGCAACCAACTTATAGTCTCTACATGCAACCAAACAAACACTAAATGTCCTTAACAGAGAAATACACTGTCACTGACACTTATTGGACTATATACTTATATTAAACAATTAATTACTGATGATATTTTTAGATGTCTTAATAAAGCCTTATGCTGTTAAGTTTAGTTGAACTCACGAGTTTCTGACTAAAGTAACTCTTGCAATATGTGTTGAATGACGGCTGCGATGTTATTTTCTTTGCCTCGTTAGGGAAATTGTTCCATAAGGTACAATCAGTGACAAAAGGTTTTTGGACAGTGGTATAATATATACATATCTCCGCATTTCCAAATACTGTTCAGCATAAAGCCACTACCCCTCCCTCCCCCACCCTAAACAATGTTGGGTGGCTGGCAAGGAACATTTTACGCAGGTATTTCCACACACAACATTGAACGGGGGGTGCGGGGGGTCGATTATGTTGTAAACGTACGCTGTTTAGCTATTTTGTCCAAAGTGTTTTGTCACTGATTGTCCGAAACGGTATTTTAAGCCAAATTAAAATTTCAGTTATTGAAGCTAGAATTACTTGTATTTTATAGTATTACCAATGGTGTTTACAAATATAATAGATAGCGTGTTTTGGTGAGCGTAAACATGGTTAATTTGCGCATGCATTGTATGTTATTATTCTAGTTTAATCATAATGCGTTCATGCACGTTTCCAGAACCAGTCCAACATTGGGAATTTCGTAGTTTGGAACTGCAAGCGAAACTAGTAGAGCAATCTGGAATTTAGGGCAGGTAAACACGTTCGGAAGCAAATGCAATTATCTTTAAGTGCTTATTACGTTACTTTTGTGGAGAATGTAACGTCATCCGTAACATCCGGATTAATCTCAAAGCTGTAGTATTATAAAGCGCACAGTATGCATGCTATAAATAAGAGCTAATTATATAGAAACAAAGTAATAATGGCATATAAAAAAACTATTTAGGATACAACGCGAACGTATGTGCTATTTCTTGGTAAAGAGAAACGATATTCCTGCAGAGCGATTGCTAAAAAAGCAAGAATATCTAAAGCATCAGTTTCTCTTATTCTGAGAGGAAAAGTTCAGCGCAAGCAAGATTTGAAAACATGCAAGCAAATTGGTAGACCAAAAAAGCTGTCAGATAGATAGCGGAGAAAATTAATAAGAACAATAAAACCTCTGCGTGATAAAGACCCAAATTTTACTGTTAAGCGCTTGGTTGCGCACAGCGGACTGCTGTCACGTGATATTTCGTATCGCACATTTTATCGTGAGGTGAAAGCAGCTGGATTTGATTATCTACCTGCGCGTAAAAAGGGGGTTTTAACAAGCCGTGATCGCACGAAAAGAAAGTCGTTTGCGCAACAATGCAAGAAGATCCTTTCCACAAAGCCCGGATTCTTCTCGCGAAATATTGCCTTCTATTTAGACGGGGTTTCTTTTGTTTATAAGACACAGCCTCTTAGTGATGCTTTAGCCCCTTAAGGGCGTGTATGGAGAAGAAAGAGCGAGGGTTTACAATTGACGGCAAAAGGATCTAAAATTCTTGCGGGTGGAAAACGGCTTCACTTACTGGTCGCAATTTCTCACAACAATGGGGTTGTATTGGTAGAAGAATATGAGAAAATGACCGTTACCTATTTCGCTGAGTTCGTAAAAAAAGAATTTCCAGCACTACTATCGCGCAAGCGTGGAAGAAAATGGTTCATAATGGACAACGACCCATCTCAGTGAAGCCTAGCAGCTAAGACAGCTATAAAGGAAGAGGGATGGGAGTTATTTTGTATCCCAGCGAGATCTCAAGACTTAAATCCAATAGAAAACATGTTTCACATAGTTACGAAGCAGCTTGATGCTCAAGTTAGAGACTCACAGATTGTGTGTGAGACGTGGGAACAATTTAAGACTAGAGTTATAAAAACTTTATATAATGTTTCTGTAGATTATATGTAAATAATATTATCACAAGCATGCCTAAGCGAATACAGGCTTGTATTGCAGGCTGACGGCTTTAGAACAAAATACCGACAAAGTTACTATGACAACGGATTGTACATCGTATTTCCGTATCAACGAATCCCACACATGTTCGCGTAATAATTTCCATATTTTCTCACATGTATATGATCGTTGTTGGGAATTTAAACCCACAGTTGCGTGCGTAAGGAATACATTAATACTTTGGCTTCAAATACGCGTGCGTTTCGTTAGAAAAGACAGAGAAAATGGGTTAAAAGTCGACGAATCCCACTTTTCTATTTACTAATTATGATGTCATATTTCAACTTACTATAAATAGTGGGAATCGTTCGACGAAAGTCGGAATTTCATGGAATCAAATTGATTTCGCTCGAAGTTAACCACATAATCAATTCCTTTGACATATTTACAATAGGCTAAGAGAGAAAAACAGCAAGAATTGTTGAACTTAATTCCTTTTTCTACATAAAATGTGACTGGGATTCGTGTGGGATTCGTTGATGCGTCATAAGCCACTTAGTTAGGGATGACCAGAATACATATCTGTTAACACCTTAATGTAGCCTACGTTAAATTAAAATACATCATTATAGATCACTGTTCAGCGTATAATATTAACTCAGCAAAGCATCGAGCGCAAGCCGCAATGTTTCTTTGTTCATCACGCGGAATTTGTCTATGAAGCGGAAACATTCGCCATCTTACATTCATCATTTCTGTGTTCACGCGATCAATAGATCCATTGTTAATTAAAATAAGTGGGGCGTCACTCGTTGCAAAGAATGGCGTGTCCCTCTCGAGAACAATATATTTGCTCATCTGATTTTTCGGGGCTGGAAAATGAACCGTGTCACCTTCTAAGACCTGCAAAAACTCGCATCACGGTATAAGGGATGGTTTCCACAACCCTACATTTTAAGCCATTTATACGTGTATGAATTTATACCTATATCACGCTTGACTGAAATTACTTTATTATGAGCCGACCAGCCAAATAATGTGTAAACACTTGTTCAGGTACTTGATAAATTTAAACATTTTAATCAAGGCTGAACATGTAATAAATACTTCATATTTTTGATACAATATTCTGCCACTTGCATACAATCAGTGACAAAAGGTTTTTGGACAGTGGTATAATATATACATATCTCCGCATTTCCAAATACTGTTCAGCATAAAGCCACTATCCCTCCCTCCCCCACCCTAAACAATGTTGGGTGGCTGGCAAGGAACATTTTACGCAGGTATTTCCACACACAACATTGAACGGGGGGTGCGGGGGGTCGATTATGTTGTAAACGTACGCTGTTTAGCTATTTTGTCCAAAGTGTTTTGTCACTGATTGTAGATGCTATAAATGAAAATCGTCGTTTTCCTGCGTTAGATCTTGCTTTTGGGATGTGGACATTATTATTCATAATAGCTCTTGTTGAATGGTGGTGGGTTGGTTTTTCCATGAGGGTGCTGAGGCATGGTGGACATGTATGCATTTGAACGTCTGTAGTAGGATCCGGTGGCGAATGGTGTCATGAATTGGGATAAGGTTGATTTCTTTGAATAAGGTTATTGATGGGATAGTGTAATCAGCGTTTAGAAGAATCCTTGCGGCACGTTTTTGGGCAGATGTTACACGTCCAAGAGCGTCTGTACTACAATTACCCCAAACGCTACAGCAATATTCGAGTGTTGGCTTTGCTATGCTGTTATAAAGGAGAAGGAGGAGCTTGGGTGTAAGGTAAGGTTTGGCTCGTTTCACAAGTTCAAGTTTGTTGTTGTATTTCTTGATAACGTGAGAAATATGGGTGTTCCATGTGAGTGAGTCATCCATGTGCACACCAAGTAGTTTTTCGCAGGTTGTTTGGGAGATGGTGGTTCCGCAGATAGAAACATTGAGCGGTTCGTTGATGGTTGAAAGTTTTTGTTGTGATCCAATAAGCATGACCTTAGTCTTGTTGGGATGGATGGCCATTCTATTCTCTGAGGCCCAGTTACTTAAGTTGTCAGCACCAGTTTGTAGATGTGATCTAACGGTGTTTATGGATGTCCCTGACTTGACCAAGGTGGTGTCATCTACATAGATGTAGGAATTGCATTCTTTGTTAACAAGTGGTATGTCGTTGATGAATAAAATGAAGAGAAGTGGTCCAAGTGATGAACCTTGTGGAACACCGGTATGTACTGGTAGGAGATCTGAAGTTGCACGTCCGATGGACACTAATTGCTTTCGTTCTGTGAGATAAGACTTGAACCACTGGAGTGTTGAATCTTTAAGACCATAAATGGCAAGTTTCTGTAGTAGGAGGTCATGGCTTATAAGGTCGAATGCTTTCCGGAAGTCTATAAGGAGAATTCCGCTGAGATTTCCTTTGTCCATATCATTAAGTAGCGAGTCTGTAAGTTGGAGTAACATTGTTTCACAAGAGTGGAAAGGTCGTGATCCAAATTGGGAACTGGTGAGCAAGTTGTGTTCTTGAAGGTAACCAAGTAGATGTAGACCATAAAAGCGCTCCAAGATCTTAGATAGCACAGACAAAACAGCGATAGGTCTATAATTATCCTTATTTTGTCGCGAGCCTTTTTTGAACACAGGTGTGATCTTGCTGATTTTCCACTGGTCTGGAAAAATACCCGAGGTTATGCTGGTGTTATAGATGTAGAGAAGGGATTGGAGGACTTCATTGCAGCCGACTTGAAGAAGATGGATATTTATCGAGTCAACTCCTTTTGCTTTGTTACACGACAAGTTGTTGATTGCATTCAGAAGGTATTCTGCAGACATGGCTGGAACCGTGAAGTGGTGGTTATCAGGAAGGTGAGTTTTCACAAATTGTCGAAGTGGTTCTAAATTTGGTTCGTGATGTGTTGTATCATGGATGACAGAGTCTGCAATTTGTGAGACATGCGAATTAAACAACTGTGCAATTATGGCTGGGTTTGTGACCGAAGCCCCATTATCGATAATCTCGTTTGGTGTTGTTTTGTTGGAGTTCAAGTTTCCCACTTCTTTCATCAGTTTCCATAGTTTCCTCGAGTCATGTTTGTTCTGTAAAATTTTGTGTGCAAAGTAATTCTTTTTCGCTTGTTTAATGTTAAATGATATTCTGTTCCTACATGATCTGAACGTTTCCCATGATATTGTTCCGTTTTGGGCTTTGGCTTTTAGCTGATCTCGTTTCTTTATGTCAGACAGAATTTCAGGCGTCATCCACTTAGGCAGCTGTAAGGATTTGACTCTTTCCGTTCGGAGAGGGGCATGTCATTCAATAACACTCTGGAAGATCTCGTACCAGAGTGCAAGGGCGTCAGATGGATCGTCAAATGCTTCAATTGAGGACCATGGGGCCAGATGTACAATCAGTGACAAAACACTTTGGACAAAATAGCAAAAGAGCGTACATTTACAACACAATCGACCCCCCGCACCCCCCGTTCAATGTTGTGTGTGGAAATACCGGCGCAAAATGTTCCTTGTCAGCCACCCAACATTGTTTAGGGTGGGGGAGGGAGGGATAGTGGTTTTACGCTGAACAGTATTTGGAAAGGCGTAGATATGCATATATTATATCACTGTCCAAAAACCTTTTGTCACTGATTGTAGGAAGCTGGCAGAATATTGTATCATAAATATCAAGTTTTTGTTACATGTTCAGCCTTGATTGAAAAGTTTAAATTTACCAAGAACCTGAGCAAGTGTTTACCCATTACTTGGCTGGTCAGCCGATGATAAAGTAATTTCAGTTAAACGTGATATATGTATAAATTCATACGCGTATAAATGGCTTAAACTGTAGGGTTGGGGGAAACCATTACTTATAGCGTGGAGCGAGTTTTTGCAGGTTTTAGAAGGTAATACTGCTCATTTTCCAGCCCCGAAAAATCAGATGAACAAAGATATTGTTCTCGAGGGAGACACGCCATTCCTTGCAACGTGTGACGCCCGAGTTAATTAACAATGGATCTATTGATCACGTGAACACAGTAATGATGAATGTAAGATGGCGAATGTTTTCGCTCCATAGTCATATTCCGCGTGATGAACAAAGAAACATTGCTGCTTGCGCTAGGTGCTTTGCTGAGTTAATATTATACGTTGAACAGTGATCTGTAATGATGTGTTTTAATTTAACGTACTAAATAGGCGTTAACAAATAAGTAGTCTGGTCGTCACTAACTAATTAGCTTATGACACGTCAACGAATCCTACACGAATCCCAGTCGCATTTTATGTAGAAAAGGCAATTAAGTCGAACAATTCTTGCTGTTTTTTTCTCTTAGCTTATTGTTCTTATGCCAAAGGAATTGGTTATGTGGATAACTTCGAGTGAAATCAATTTGATTCAATGAAATTCCGACTTTCGTTTACGATTCCCACTATTTATAGTATATTGAAATATGACATCATAACTAGTAAATGGAAAAGTGGGAATCGTCGACTTTTAACCCATTTTCTCTGCCTTTTATAACAAAATGCGTGCATATTTGAAGCCAAAGTATTAATTTATTCCTTACTCACGCAACTGTGCATTTAAATTCCCAACAACGATCATATACATGTGAGAAAATGTGGAAATTATTACGCGAACAAGTGTGGGATTCGTTGATACGGAAATACGATATACGATCCGTTGTCGTAGTAACCTTCTCAGTATTTTATTCGAAAGCCGTCAGCCTGCAATACAACGTGCATTCGCGTAGGCATGCTTCTGATAATATTATTTATATAATCTACATAAATATTATATAACGTTTTTATAACTCTAGGCTTAAATTGTCTCCATACAAGCCCTCTAGGGGCTAAAGCGTCACTAAGAGGCTGTGCCTTGTAAACAGAAGAAATCCCGTCTGAATAGAAGGCAATATTTCGCCAGAAGAATCCGGGCTTTGTGGAAAGAATCTTATTGCATTGTTGCGCAAACGCCTTTCGTTTCGTGCAAGCACGGCTTGTTAAAACCCCCTTTTTACGCGCAGGTAAATAATCAAATCCAGCTGCTTTCACCTCACGATAAGATGTCCTATAGGAAATATGACGTGACAGCAGCCTGCTGTGCACAACCAAGCGCTTAACAGTAAAATTTGGGTCTTTATCACGAAGAGTTTTTATTATTCTTATTAATTTTCTCCGTTCTCTACCTGACAGCGTCTTTGGTCTACCAATTTTCTTGCATGTTTTCAAATCTTGCTTGCGCTGAACTTTTCCTCTCAGATAAGAGAGATTGACGATTTAGATTTTTTGCTTTTTTAGCAATCGCTCAGCAGGAATATCGTTCCTATTTGCCTAGAAATAGCACATATTCTCGCATTGTATCTGAAATAGTTGTTTTATAAGCCATTATTACTTGCTTTCTATATAACCACCTCTTATTTATAGCATGCATACTGTGCGCTTTATAATACTACAGCTTTGAGATTAATCCGGATGTTGACGATGACGTTATATTCTCCACAAAAGGTACGTAATACGCACTTATAGATAATTGCATTTGCTTCCGAACGTGTTTACTAGCCATAAATTCCAGATTTCTCCACTAGTGTAGCTTGCAGTTCCAAACTACGAAGTTCCCAATGTTTGAGTAGTTCTCAGTGGAAACGCGCATAAACGCATTATGATTAAACTAGAATAATGACATACAATGTATGCGTAAATTATCCATGTATACGTTCACCAAAACACGGCATATATAATATTTGTAAACACCATTGGTGATACTATAAAATACAAGTAGTTCTAGCTTCAATAACAAAAATTTTAATTTGGCTTAGAATGACGTTTCTGACAATCAGTGACAAAACACTTTGGACAAAATAGCAAAAGAGCGTACATTTACAACACAATCGACCCCCCGCACCCCCCGTTCAATGTTGTGTGTGGAAATACCGGCGCAAAATGTTCCTTGTCAGCCACCCAACATTGTTTAGGGTGGGGGAGAGAGGGATAGTGGTTTTACGCTGAACAGTATTTGGAAAGGCGTAGATATGCATATATTATATCACTGTCCAAAAACCTTTTGTCACTGATTGTAGATCTTCACGAAAATCTGTTTTGTTCAAGTTGGATAAGGATCGATATTGAATAGTGCTCTTTTCATTTTGTTTTGATCTCATGGAAGCGTTACAATGGCGTACGAGGAAGACAGGATAGTGATCACTCAGAGAAAGTGGTGGTACATGTATTGATGCAACATTTCTTTCAGATGAACAGTAGATGTGGTCAATGAGCGTTGAAGTGACACTGAATGATCCGTTCACATATCGAGCTTCCGTTCGCGTTGGCACTGTGACTAGTTGTTTGAGCCCGAGTTGATGTATACATTTCAAGAAGACGCTAGATTTCGATTTTTGACATAGAACATTCATATTAAAGTCCCCAAGAACATAGCATTCCTTATTTTCTGATGCTACTCAATCCATAAATAACTTAATGATTTCATTGAACTGTAACTTAGATTTAGTTTTGTACAGCACTTAGAACATTTTGGTATAAGTGCTATATTATTATTAACTTAAAAAACCCGAAATTATGATACTCTATATTGTCTCTAAACTTCCTATATTGTTATATTGTCCATAGAAAGCATACGAAAGCCAAGGAAGGCTAACGAAGACTAGGGAACACGAAGGAAGGCCAAGGAAGGCTAGGGAACGCTAAGGAAGGCTGGGGACGGCTAGGGAACGCTAAGGAAAACCCAGGAAGGCTAGGGAATGCTAAGGAAGGCTAGGGGAGGCCAAGGAAGGCTAGGGAAGGCCAAGGAAGGCTAGTGAAGGCTAAGGAAGGTTAGGGCAGGCTGAGGAAGGCTAGGGAATGCTAAGGAAGGCTAGGGAAGGCTAAGGAAGGTTAGGGAAGGCTAGGGAATGCTAAGGAATGCTAAGGAAGGCCAAGGAAGGCTAGGGAAGGCTAGGGAAGGCTGAGGAAAGCTAGGGAATGCTAAGGAAGGCTAGGGAAGGCTAAGGAAGGTTAGGGAAGGCTGAGGAAGGCTAGGGAATGCTAAGGAAGGCCAAGGAAGGCTAGGGAACGCTAAGGAAGGCCAAGGAAGGCTAGGGAATGCTAAGGAAGGCCAGGGGAGGCCAAGGAAGGCTAGGGAAGCCAAGGAAGGCTAAGGAAGGTTAGGGAAGGCCAAGGAAGGCTAGGGAAGGCCAAGGAAGGCTAGGGAAGGCCAAGGAAGGCTAGGGAAGGCTGAGGAAGGCTAGGGAATGCTAGAAGGCTAGGGGAGGCCAAGGAAGGCTAGGGAAGGCTGAGGAAGGCTAGGGAATGCTAAGGAAGGCCAAGGAAGGCTAAGGAAGGCCAAGGAAGGCTAGGGAACGCAAACGAAGGCCAGGGAAGGCCAAGGAAGGCTGAGGAAGGCTGAGGAAGGCTAGGGAACGCAAAGGAAGGCCAGGGAACGCTAAGGAAGGCTAGGGAACGCTAAGGAAGGCTTGGGAACGCTAAGGAAGGCTAGGGAATTAGGCTAGAGGAGGCCAAGGAAGGCTAGGGAACGCTAAGGAAGCCAAGGAAGGCTAGGGAAGGCCAAGGAAGGCTAATGAAGGTATTTGATAATTTCAAGTTCAATATCTCTTTCAGTTATCGGAATGAAAACAAATGAATCTAGTTGAGATGTGTAGTTAAGGCTATTTGTATGTTGAAGGTAATCAGAATGTTTTTCAGAATGTGGCATTTTGGCAGCTAATCGTTGTCCACATGTAGCAAAATGTTTATTCAAGATATTAGATATATTTTTAGGATCAAATGTTAATCGAGAAGTAGGATCCTGTTGCATTGCACCAATATTATTTTTATTATTGCGATGACGTCCCAAAATTTCCCTTATTCCTTCCCATTTCTTACTCATTTGTGTAATTCAAGTTGAAGTATTTTTCATATTACAATTTTTTGCTGGCTCGGAGTAAAGTAACAATATAGTTTCTATATATTTTATTCTGAGTTAAATTATTTGTGTGAAATAACTTATTTTTAACTTTAATGGATGCCCTTATTCCCCTAGTTACCCATGGCTTGAATAATTGTTTTGCTTTACGCCTAGAAATGGTCTTGATAGGAGCATGTTTATTTATTAATTTATTTACTTTATTAAAAAGTCGAAAATAACTTGTTAGGATTATTCTCTGGTTCCGTTCAGACAAAATCCCAATTTATCTCTGAAAGTTCTTGGCTAAATAAAGTATCGGAGAATGATGAATAGTCACGATATTTGGGTTTTTGGATGTTTTTTTTCTGACGGTAATAGAATCTAGTATACAAAATTGCGAAAAATGATCGCTTACATCAGATATTATGTTTCCACCAACTACTGTAGCACATTGGAAGGGTTATTAATAAATATGTTGTCAATTACTGTGGCTGATTCCCCATGGAAGCGCGAGGGTTTATCGATGCTAGGGATCATTGAACAGCTTTGTAAATATAATAAAAAATTATGTGCATAATTACACCTATCAATTTTTAATAGGTCTGTGTTTAAATCACCCATGATAAACACACATTTGCCTGTTGATGTGTATTGCTCTAGTTTTTGTTCAAAATACACCTGGAATGTCTCAGGTGGAATGTCTCAGGTGAATGACAGAAAATAACAGCACGCCATCGTATCACATTCAAGGTTAGCATAGAAAGTAACTCTTATAAAATGTCTTATAAAAAAGAAAAATTTAAGCATGTTTTATAAAAAAGGAAAATTTTTGATTTGCAATGACATCAAGTTTTTGAGTTTCTCATAATGGCATTGCTAACATCAGCCTGTGAAAGATTAAAGAGTGAAAGGCCGTATGTATGTTAGTTCATTGGATTTCTAAACATTCTAAATTTATAACATATTTTTTGACGTTTTCGTATCTCCTTTAATTTTAATACCACTTAATTAAAACCCCTCCAAATATTGCTGATCAATGGAAAATTAATGATAGCCTACAATACGATGTAGATACATCATTACTTTTAACATTAGATGCATGTTCTTTATGTGTGTTTATAGGGGCCTCAAATCCGCAAGAGTTCCAGCAGGCCAGATCATGAAACATCTATGGAAGAAGTGGACTACAACGATGTAATGATTAGTTTTGATGTCCCACCACAGTTGTCGGAATCTTCTATTGAAGATGAAACTGTAAGACAGTATGACGATATGCCAATGGTCACAATGTACGAAGTAGTAGAAGAAGGGTCACAGAAAGGAAAGAAAAAATTGGCGGACAGCGAAGGCTATACATAACAATAAAGGAATGAAAAGCCAATGGAAATAAAGGTTGGACATGTAGTATCCGGAATAAGTCTCTTTGGTGCAAGGCCAGAATAATGGAGAAACCGGATGGATTTACACTGGGATCACTAGCTGCCACATGTAGACCCACCACATGTAGGAGCAGCAACAGCAACAAGAATTTCAACGGCTGTGAAAAAAATGGCAGCTGCTGAAATTTTTACATCTGCAGCCGAAATTGTCAATAAGGTAACTGCATGAAGTTATAATTATGTGCCCAATGTTATATAATATAGAATTGGATTGATAACTACTGTAGGTTTGTGACCTAACCAGGATAGGTCTAATAAATTTCCACTCGATAATTTCCATCAACCACCCCGGTTGAACATATCAAACTGTGGTTGAAATAAGGTTGATTTAGTTCCTTGATCAGATCAGAAGAAATCCAAAAATATTATAGGTGAAAATAGTTTAAAATTACATTAAAACTGACAGAATATTGAATTGAATTGAATTTTATTTGCCCATATGGAAAAGTTAATATTTACAATCTTCAAAGTATACAATATGATGGGCTAGGAGCCTTCATGAAACCCTTTCAGGCTTTTTGTTCAAAGGCCCCTAGTTCTATAATATTTTTACAATCATATAATGTTGAAAGAATATAGGAATATTTACAAATACAAGTATAAAGTAAGGAAAATTTTAAAGTAAAAGTAATATAATGAGCATAATTGAACAAAAATATTTTTGATTTTTTCTTAAAAGTACAATAAAATGTAATACTGCTAATTTCTTTATCTAGTGAATTCCATATCTTAACTCCCTTGTTAACAATAGAATGTTTTGCATAATTTGTTCTACTAAAATTTACATGAAATTTGTTAGCATTTCGAGTATTGTAATGATGCACTTCATTGTTCTGCGCGAAGTAGCCATTAAAAAATTCAGGTAAATTTTGTAGACGTTTAAACCACCGGTACATAAATAAAGAACTTAAATAGTCATTGATCTTAAAGATATTCAAGATCTTTAACTTCTGAAACAATGGTTCAGTGTGTTCAAGATACAATTTAAAACTTAATTTATTTAAAACTTAGAATATGTGACATTTAGCCAACAGATTTGACTTTATTTGGGATATTTTGACCTGGGGACGTTTTGACCTGGGAACATTTTGACCTGGGGACATTTTGACTGGAAAGCATTGTAGCTAAATCACTAAAATAGATAAGCTGTTCCTGCTGCGACAATTTATGCCTATTGTCACATTTCACACGCTCTTCGATAAAGCTAAAATATTAAAATTGTCAAGAATATAGTGCATTACTGCATCAGGAAACTTTCTGAACAGCTAGTCCTACCAGTAGGACTTGTATTCACGTTGTGGTTAATACATTGGTAAAAAATCGAACTTACTACATGACAGGGCTGCCTCACTTCCTTATTAAAACATTATTTATTAAATGGTTTCCATAAAACTCGTTTATTTTCTCACAAAATCGAAAATCATATAACCATCATAGAATTGAATACTGTTTTTAAAGTGAAAGAGTTCTAAATGCTGAGTTTGAGCAGGGTTAGTAACTTGGCCTTTTTGCGGCCAAATAACTCGATTTTGGCTTTTTTTATTTCTGGTTTGGCCTTGAAGAAAATGTTTGGCCTTTTGGCTCTATTTTGGCTTTTTATCAAGTGACAGGAAAGTTTCACTATTTTTTAGTATAATTTATTATAAAAGAATGTCAACCATAAAGCATGTTGTAAGAATGTAAGAATGTGTACCGTTGACAGACGATAACCTAATTCTATTCACACTCAATTAGATCTCAGGAAAATCAGCCAATCATAAAGCTGAAAAACTACCCAATGGCAACATTGTAGCTATG